AAGTCAGAATTCTTTGAAAACAAGTCAGAAATCTCAGATTAAAGTCAGAATTCTGAGATTAAAGTCGGAATTCTCAGATTAAAGGCGGAATTCTCAGATTAAAGTCAGAATTCCGCTTTCTCATAAAGGTCCTAAACTTCCCAAAAACACAGAAAAGTGACTAGAAGCTTTTTCTAGAGATGCATTGGATACATAGATCAGATATCTCCTCTGATACTGAATGATTAGCCGGATCAGATCCAAAGTAAACCATATGCTGTATCTAACGCGTAACACTGATTGACTCTGAAGGTTTGGTAGCTTCTGTTTTGCTGTGGCAGAGTTCCACCATGGATTCCACGCGGTGGAAACTCACCATGTCTTTGCCGTTCCGCAGCCGGTGCAGCAGCAGCCGGACCGTGTCTTTGTTCTGACACAGCCCCATGGTGTTCAAGGTGTCGAGGGCGGAGCCGGAGCAGCCCTGCAGCCGCAGCTCCGCCCCCAGAGCCGCCTGCAGGAAGTTGTTCCTCCAGATGTTTCTGGTGAAGAGCGGGATGGAGAGCGCCACCACGGTGCGGCGCTCCAGCAGCGTGACGGCCTGATCCTCCGTCAGCTGACTGCTAAACAAACAGGAGACATGGCGGTCAGAATGGGAAGCAAACAGAACCGGAACCAGCGGGATCCGATCGGACTCACTGGCTGCTTTTGTAGAGGGTGTTGATGTCAGGGAACATGGAGTGCAGGCAGGTGGTGACGAGCGGCGCGTTTTCCTGGACCCAGTTCAGACACCTCCTCCAGGGGAAGGAGGACAGCGGCTTCCTGCCGGAAACCTTCTGGTGGAAGGGACTGTCTGCCTTCCGTGACAGCAGCTTCATCTGCAGACAGGAGATGTGATGAGAACGAGAAACCTACGCTTAGACCCGGCGCCACATTCATTCACTCACCTCGTTTTTCAGCTGTTTCCTCCAGAAATCCATCATGGGCTTCCTGGCGCCTTTGGACGACCAGAGCATTTGGAAAGCGGCTTTGTAGCTGGACTTGCTGACCAGCAGAGCGGCTTTGCTCTTCTTCCCCATCCTGCGGCCCGTCACCTGCTTGTCCTTCACCTGGAAACAGAATCAGCGAGCTGAACGCATCCTGATGGAGGAGTTCCTCTGATTAAAGAGGAGGATCTTAAAGTCGGAGGGAAATCATATTTAATTTTCAAATCATTCTGGCTTAAACATGTGTATAAATGTGCTTTTTATCAGACCATATTGTCCCAAAAGTTAGAAAATGTCTATTTATAAAAAAAATCTTCCGCCACAACAATCCCGCCCCCCCCCCTTGATAATGGGTCTAGATACGGCTGAGGTGGTGAGGAAGTGGGGGCAAGTTTGTCCGACAACAGGGGGACATGAGGGACAAAAATAGCGGGAATCCAGGTGGGGAAAGGGTCATTTTTGGAAAAATTTAAAGAAAGTTTTTTAGGTGGAGTAACTGTAGCTCCATCATCTCCACCCTTAGAGTCTCCCTCCAACCTTCATCACAAAGCTACGCCCTGCAGGAAGCCATTTATAATAACAGCATCATGTTTAGTTTCTCTATAGAGCAAGGCTTTTAAAGTCCCCTGACCTGATGGTCACCATGGTAACGGCCCAGGACTGACCTTCGTGACCTCAGGCGGCTTCACCCACAGCAGCCGCTTCCCGCTCTGCTTCCGCCTCCCTTTGGTCCGGATGATCTGCGCGCAGGTTTCACACAGGAAGGATTTCTCATGGACCTCCGAGTCCGGGAAGACCCAGCGCACCGTGTCCGGGGTGGTGAAGGTGTACACCGCCCTGCGGTTGAAGGAGCGGCCCTGCCGCTGGAACAGCAGCCTGCAGCCGCTGCAGTTTCTGTCCTCCGGCCGTTTGGGCCGCCGCGAGCCGCTTCCGCGCGGCGCCGCTTCAGCGCAGCTCACCGCGGGCTCCTCCTGCTCGCTCACACCGGGACAGTCCACCTCCGCACCCAGGGCGGGTTCTGGAAGCTCCAGCCGGGCGGGTTCGGGCGGCTGAAGCGCGGAGTTCGGCACAGGTTCTGGTGGGTCGGTGGTGTGAGCGTAGTCATGCTCGTTGGATTCGGCTGCAGCTCCGGTTCCTTCTGCTATCCGGGGCTGATCGGTCTCCATGGTGGAGGGGGGGTCTCAGTGGACGGTCTGCGGTAACCTGGACCTGCAGGTCGGTTAGTCGGAACCAGAACCGTTTTCAAACTTGATCAGAATGAAGCTATAAATGTTTTCTCGAAAAGAAACTCTGGAGCAGATGGAGAACTGCAGAAACAGGATGTAGAGTAAAATAAACAAAACAGCTTCCTGTTTCCAAAACCTTCACGCACCGCTTAAACGCCCCCGTGCGGTGGGAGGCCAGTACTGCAGGTCCTAACAAAGAATCTGGCTTTCCTCCTGCGGAGGTTCGCGACCCCTAGCGGTTCCCTGGAGTTACTGCATGGGGGTCGCGACAAATTTGGTTTGCAAACCTTCACCTTACAGCCACCTGCAGCTAATATTGTGCAAGCAGAAGGCATTATGTTTGTCATTAATCTCTTGCTACCTCATTTTGAACAAAACATAGAGATTATATGCTGTGAAAATTTATTTTCAAATCTCTTTTAGTAATTATTGTATTTTCTATTTATTTTACTTGTTTTATCAGGTATAAATAAATTAACAATAAAAAAAAACATATTTTTTCTTTAAATATTTTAGGCTTTTTATGGTGTAACAGGAACCATGAAATGAATCCTAACAGCTATTAGGAACCCCAAACTGACTTATTTTTTTGTCTATTAGTCTTTTATAATGCGCCCCTTTCTTTTTTAGTTGAACGACTTTTATTTTGTAGGTTTTTATTTTGAAACGCCTTACCGGAAGTGTCATCCATCAAAAACAAAGGATGTAAACAAACGTCGCTATCAGCTTTAAACTGCTACATGAAATCGGTTTATCTGGGTGATATGAAGCCGTTTGAGGTAAGAACCGGCAGAGTTTTTATATTTTGACCCAAACTTGTTTTTAGACCGATTTTGAAGCTGCTAACAGCTGCTAACTGTTAGCTTCTGGGAGACAAAGCTGCTCTGCTTCATGCCATTGATTCCAACCTGGGATTTCTTACCTCTTTACATAAATATGAACATTTAATGGAAGTAAAGCAGGAAAAAAGAGTCGATATGTGTGGAAGGAGAATTTTTATCATCATAATCTGGATTTGGATGCTTTTTTCCCCCCTAAACGTCAGAAACATCCATTTAAAGCTGCATATTTACAAATATAATCCTCAGAAGCATTCAGTCTGTATGTGTGGTGTTTGAAAGATAATTAGTGATCAGTCATAATATGTATAAAAAGACTATATTTCCTAAAGATGTTCATTTATTTAGATGAGATCAGATCAAAATTCCAGCCAAAGGGATTAAAGTCTCCATAACCTCCATCATCACCATCAGATCAGGTTAAAATGCCTGTTAAATGTGTTCAGAGATGCTCCAGGAAATACTCCGATACTGATGCAGAAACACAACTTGGTGATCCTTTCTGCATTTTCTGAAAATATAGAAACTCAATCTATTTAAAGTGTTTACATCTAGTGTTTGCACCGATACTGATACCAGTACTGATACCAGTATCAGGCGGGTTCCCGATCCAGCACTTACATGGTGGTATCGGTATCGAAGAATACCGACAAATAGGGCACTGATACCATTTTAAGAGCCAAAAATGTAGTCAACTATTGTCACCCATTCCAGGTAGGCAATAAAAAGTTCTACTGGATTCACTTTGTATTAGTCTTTTTCCCGCTTCAAAATGGTAGGCAGCAGCTTGACAAAGCCATGATGGCAATTATTTTACATCAAAGTAGAATGCAGTCCTACATATACACACACACTAAGGGTGTAAATAATAATCGTTTTGTATCGATGCATCGACACGTCTGTGTCAGATGAACGACAGCTACAATTTAACAAGCTCCTCATTTAATGATGTTTAGCTGACAATTGTTTTACATCAATAATTGTTTACATGTTTTGAATTGTGTAAATAAAGTTTTCTTAAAGGAAATGAAAAAAAAAAAACACACAGTAGTTGCTTTTGATTATGAGGGAGGAGGGGCGGCCATCAAGCAACCTACCGGCACTCAGAGTTTTAATATCAGAGTGTAATGAAATGATGGCATTCTGAGATATGGAAGCTCTAGAAGAGCATTGGTGGAAAAAATAGTGAAATATCATCTAACCAACGCTCTGATGGGTTCATAGCCACCTCTTAACATTGTGATGTAAAATTGTGTGTCGTCTGCATAGTTATGGTAACTGATCTTGTTGTTTGCTATTATCTGAGCTAAGCGGATATTGAATAGCAGGGGCACCAGAGTGGAGCTTTGAGGAACACCGCATGTGATTTTTCTGGTTTCTGATTTAAATCTTCATTCAGTTCCTGTATTTTAGGTAGGATTTAAACCAGTCCAGTTCTGTACCAGAAAGGCTGACCCAGT